TTATTATTTGAATTTTTTTAGATTTTTGGATATTTTATTTATAAAATTTAGATTTATAAAAACAGAGATATTGATTTTTATATTGATTTAAATATTCAAATAAAATTCTAAAATTCTTTTGTTGAGTTTTAAAAATATTTAAAAATTGTATAGAGACTCATTGTGTACATGGGCCCACCATGACCTAGATGGTGGGGCACATGAGATCCTCTCATGGGTGGCATACCCCACCCAGCTTTCTATTTTATTGATAAGTGATTTTGGCTTGAAGGCCAAGTTGTTATATGTTTTGGAAGGCCATTGGCTTGAAGAAGATTTTGAATGGATTTTTGGAAAACATGAGAATGCTTGTGCAGTATTTTGGTATATACAATATTATATTTAGAATTATTTTATTTAATTACAATTGATGGGAAAATAGTTTAGAAAATGGGAATATATGTTATAACATCTACCATGATGTTTATGGCATATCTATGAAATGAAGAGCTCAAATCTCTCACTCCACAAGTCACCCAAGATCAATAGTTTATATTCAATCTCACAAGAGGAAGCAAGCTTTGAAAAATCCTAAGAGACCCTAATCCTATTTTTGCACTATAAATAGAGGAACACTTGCCATAAATGTTTACACCAAAATCTCTCTTCTCTATCTAAATATTTATCTCTCTTTGGTAACTATAGGGGCAACACCCCAACCCTAAAAGCTCTCTCTCTCTAGACAATAGTAAGGGGCACGCCCCACCTCTTGAACCATCACTCTCTCTAGGTTGACCTTTCTCTGGGTTAACCTAAGGGGCACGTCCCACCTAGATGGTGCTCTCTCTCTCTCATCTTGCCTTGATGATCTAAAAGGTTGGGTAGTAGTATACCACTTAAACTAAGTTTTGTGGGTTTTCTAAATTTGAGTTTTGTGATCAAGAGGTCATAGTTCCATTGGAGGGCTTGGCCTAAACTTGCTTTCCTGGTTGAGATTGAATGTTGATCGTTGATCTCGCACCATTGGATGGTAGTGATTCGGTGTAGGGTGTAATAAACCCGGTTGAGGTAATATTTAGTATTCTCTTTTTGTGTTTTGTTATATTTAATTATATCGTCTTTGTACTCCCAAGTATAAGAGTTGTTATTATTTCTTTGTTTAAAGAAAATTGATTTAGTGGTATCAAGGTTTTTAAGGTCCTAGTTTTGTTTGTCTTATTTTTAAGTTATTTTAATCATATTTTATAGGTGTGTGATGCTTAGAAGTATGGATGCTAAAATTTTAGCTTAATCAGATGTATAAAAAAAGGAATAAAATTAAAACACATTTTATGCTCCCAAAAGGTGGGATTGAAGTGTAAAATATGAAATACATTAAACTATTTTTTAAATTAAAAATAAAACAAAAACTTTGTAATTTTTTTTTCTTAAAACTATATTATATTAAATAAGATTTGAAATGTAAAAATAAGAAATTCATGAGACTTTTCTTGAATATTAAAGATAGAAAAATTTATCAAAATACAACTCACTTTTCAACTATGTAATGTTTCACCCTTTTTCTATTTATTTTAACTTAGATCACATACATTTTCATGTGCATTTTGAAATTAAATAAAAATGTATGGGTAAAATATTAAATAGTTAATACCTTAAATGTATTTTGACGTATTTCCCTGAAAAACGTAATGAAGGTTTTACATAAATTTTCCCTTTTTTTTGGTTGGAGCGGGTGGCTCTAACTTAATGTTAAATCTTAAAAGTAAAATGGTTTGATAGGGTTGTAGCCCTATCAAAATAAGTAAAGCTTTACTTTAAAACTCACAAAAAATTACAGTTTGGCTGCATGAAAATCTTCATATCGATCATCTCAGACTTGACCAGTATAGTTGTGAAAAAAAACTAGGATTTCAAGCCCTAAAATTTGTATAAATTGGAATACATTCTCTAGACCGTCCATTCCACAAGATGTGTACCATTTTATAAGCTTCAAATTTCACTGTTGGTCTTGGAAATTGATTTTAGACCATCCTAGAGAGTTTCGATACCTAATGTGCTTTCTCAGGATGAAGATTTGAAGTTTATAGAAACGGCATCCAATCTTCAATTCCGTCTAAGCTATTTGGCTATGGCAACGTCAATGGAACAAATCGATTATCACTTCAACTTGAAGAGGATTCCGGAAAGGGGTTAAGCTCATGGTATTAGCGCCACCTAAGCTTATGGTGGCAATGGCCTCAGGACGCCACGTCCGGACTCAACCTGGGCCTTGGTATGGGTTCAAGAATTAGACTTGGTGTACGGTCCGGGTCCATTATCCAAATATTGGACCCGAACACTATTCGGGTGCAGGTCCATGTGGACCCGACTTCACCCGCTCCGAATAGTATTATTATATACATAATATGATATTTAAATAAATATAATTATATATTTATAGTTATAATAGTTAAATAATACATGTGTATATTTAATCTAACATTCAAATATATATTTTTATTTTTGAGTCAGGTCCAGATCCCATAATTTTTTTCGGGTCTGGATCCGAGTCCAGATCGACTTGACCTGACCCGTTACCATCCATACCGGAGCCTTACCCACCGCTGTAGATTTTCATTACCACTATAAGATTAAAAAATCACTTACTATTTCTAAAAATATGCGTAGGGCCGGTATTCCCCACTTATCTACCAACAACGAAAGACCTTTACATTTTGTGAAAAAATATAAAATTTCAAGCGCTAAATAGTACCAAATTATTTAGAGCATTCATTTAAGTTGAGGCTTTATTTTGTTCTCATAAAGCCTAGCCTTATATAAACTTCATCCAAAAAAAAAGGCATTCAGAAGAGGAAATGGAACATCCCAACTGTGGCTTTCTAAATCGGACGGTTTGACATGGTATACAGATTTTAGGTGAAAAGTAGTCTCATTGTATACGACCATTCCGCCTGTCACTTTGACGGCCGAAATCACACGGTCCGAAACTTCGGTAAAACATGTGCCGACATCTCAAATAACGCAACCCCGAATTATCTCAAATTCACAATGGTTTTTATTCTCCCGAATGAGCCCATGAGTGAGTTCAAAATAAAACGTTGCATCTAAAGCAAGGTTGATTATTTTGATATATAATGGATCCTCTCTCTGACTTCTTTTACCACGTTCTTTCTCTCTCTCCAAATCCACCATCTCTGTGTGTTTTCTCTATCTAATTCTTCTGTATTTTTTCTTCTCTCTCTCTCTCTCTCTCTCTCTCTCTGATCCGTCCACCTTCTATGTGTATTTCGTCTCTCTGATTCATCCACCTTATTTGTGTTTTTTCTCCGTCTATTTCATCCATCATCTCTGTATTTTTCTGTTTGATTCTAAGAATTCGCCCTTGAATCCTCGATAACATCTGTACGTTTTCTCTTTCTTCCTCTGATTTGATCCCCTTTTTCTTGGAATTTTGGGATTTATTTCAGAAAAAAATGGGTGCTTTTATATCCAGATTCTGGTTCATGATGTTTCCTGCTAAAGAGTACAAGATCGTGGTTGTTGGATTGGATAATGCAGGAAAAACTACGACTCTCTATAAATTGCATCTTGGAGAGGTTGTTACCACTCATCCAACTGTTGGGAGCAATGTGGAGGAGCTTGTTTACAAGAACATCCGCTTCGAGGTCAGTTCCCTTAAACCCCAGTTTTTTTTCCTTAAGGTTTGTCGCCTTTTTCCTGTGTCTTTTGATGATATCCTTTTGTTTTCCCACGGACTTAATGAAATTTGTACGAGAATCAGAAGCTTTTTCCCATGAGTTTATTCATGTTTTGCAAGGTTTGAGAAAACACTAGGTGGCCGGACTGGCCCCAGCACCCAGCCCCTAGACGGGCGCCTGGCATCCAGCGCCTATGCGGGCACCAGAACCTCGGCTGCCTGGCACCCAGCGAACTTAATGAAATTTGTAGGAGAATCAGAAACTTTTTCCCACGAGTTTATTCATGTTTTGCAAGATTTCAGAAAACACTAGGTGGCCGGCCTGGCCCCAGCACCCAGCCCCTAGGCGGGCGCCTGGCATCCAGCCCCTATGTTGGCACCAGAACCTCGGCTGCCTGGCACCCAGCGCCTATGCGGGCACCAGAAGCTCGGACGCAATGGCTCCTGTAGTGAAAGTTATGCAGATATATGCATATATGTGCTGTTCAAATGCACGTATATGCGTATATTTATTCTTAACTTGCAATTTCTAGCATTTCTGTGTATTATAACTAACTATTTCTATACAAACATACTGTACGTTAAGAATAAACATGTTCGAAAACTTCAAATCGTGGAAAATTTAGTGAAAACACTTAACAAAGTCCATAGAGGGACTTTGAAAAACCTTAAGAATTTTTTTTTTTTAGTAGAACACTAAAAAATCTGAATTTTTTTCTCAATTCACATAGATCTCAAAATCATTAGATTTAGGGCTTAGATTCCATCAATAGATTTGGGGTTTAGATTCCAATATTTTTTTGACTTTGGGGGTTTAGAAACCCCTGAAGGCCTTTTATGAGTTTTTTGACTCTGGGGTTTAGAAACCCCTGAAGGCCTTTTATGAGTTTTTTGACTCTGGGGTTTAGAAACCCCTGAAGGCCTTTTATGAGTTTTTTGACTCTGGGGTTTAGAAACCCCTGAGAGCCTTTTATGAGTTCTTTGACTTTGGGGATTTAGAATACCCCTGAAGACCTTCTATGAGAAAATTGTGGGTGAAAAATGACCCAAAGGGCGAAGTCACTAGGCGCCTACCTAGGCCACCTAGGTGGGCTCCCAGGTGTTGGGAACGAAGACTATCTCGTTTACCTATTGTGAACCGCCTACTACAACAAATCCAATACCTTGAAACAAAATTGCTATCGCCAGCAAGTCAATTCCAAGAAATCTATAAATCCAAGAACCTCAACATACTAAAAACTACAATCCAAGCACCATCAATACAAATATGTGTAATTCACTCAAATTGGGCTACATCTATGGGCAACCGGCCATGATTGGATTCACTATCAATGAAAGAATTAAAGTTTTGTGGGTATGTAGAGATTACCTTACAATGGTAGAGAAAAGTTCAAAATGATTTTTTCATATGATAAAAATATCATCAATCGACTCCTCTGTTTGCTACTTTCGACTAACTCCGTCACTGCAAAGAAATGCCTTTGAAATCTGGCCCAATACAAGGGCACACACAGTTAGGGTATGTTCAAAACCCCCAATCTTTATCTTCCCCAAAACTTTCTTATTTTTCTCTCAAGAGCTTCCCTCACAAAAACATCCCACATTTCTCTTTCTACACAATGACTTTATGAGCCTCTACAAAAATCATATTTCTTGTGATGAAAATAGCCCTTGGCATTGAGAGAAATGCCATAGGTCAATGGGAAGTGATTTTGCATCACCATCCCAACACCAGGTACTGGTACCCAGAGAGGGCCATAGGTTTGGGCGTGGGCCTTGGTGTCCGCTCGGCGCCTAGGCAAGCAGCTAGGTACTAGGCGGGTCGTTTTCGAAACAATGATGTTTCATGATGAATTTTTATTGATATTATGAAGAGCTTTGTTCTCGAGGATTTCATTAAATTTCTGATGAATTTATGCAAGTTATAGAAAAGTTCTATCCATTTGCCTTTTCTGAGCTCTCGTTGAACCTTTGAGGAATATTATATATGTAGGGAAATATTGGCGTAAGCCCACTAGCCTACAACTACATATAGGCCCAACGGCCTAGATTTAATCTTGGTTGATCTAGCTGACACGACCTCATTTCGTATTTGAATTTTAATTTTTTGGTACAAATCGAAATCATGTGAAATTTTAGGCATCTATTCTTCTCATCAACACGCACCTAATAAAAATATTAAAAAAATAATTCGCAAAGTATAAATTTACTTCACAAAATATAAATTGATCAAAATATTCCTACAATATTTCGGGGATGTTTTGGTCAATTTATTTTTCACAAAATATGTTTTTGATATTTTTATTGGATTCTAATATTTTTAAAGAACACGCCCAAAATTTCAAATGATTTAGATTTATATAAAAAAATTAAAATTAAAATACGAAATGCAGTCGAGATCATTAGATCAGCCCATATTCAATCTAGGCCGTTGGGCCTATATGTAGCTATTGGCTAATGGATCTACTACGCCAGCATTTCCCATATAGGTTACCTGATAGGTGGAACTTGCAAAATGATGTTCAACCCAAACCTCTTGAAAACAAGGAAGTTGAACAAATAATTGAAAGAATTGAACATGATAACAGAGAAAGTGAAATCCAGTTTACCCCAATTAGAAGAGCTAAAATAAATATATCTGATGCTCATTCCAGGCTTCCCCCAAGGACTTCATGCTCTTCTATGCCTCAGAGTGAGCATGGAAAGGAATATGAAAGAATAATTTTTGAAGGCCTCCGAATGACTTCTGAGCATATTCAGAGACCTTATTACATGATTGATACTTCAGGATCTTCCAGAATGAAGGAAGAACCTGAAAATCATACATCTCCTACCTTTTCTGATATGGAATTTGGTCTTAATACTCTTCTTAAAGAAGAAAAATTTAAAATTGATAAAGCTAACCTGAGAAAATATTTTTATTCTAATTAGAATAAATAGATAAGAGATTGATTTCAGAATGAGTTTAAACAAAAACTCAGAATAAAATTATATAAAAAATATTATAAATATATGAAAGGAAAAATAATTAATATTGAATTCTTTAAGTGGTTAGAATACTTCTTAAAGAAACAAGGTATCTTATTTCCTAAATTTCATAAAGAAATAAATGTAGTAGAAAAAGAATTTCAAGTTTTTACTACTAAAGATGGGAAAGAAATCCAATCCATCCATCCCCCTGAGGTTCCTCTGGATATTAAAGGGGTAAAAGCTGTTCCTTATAAATTGGAGCCTAAAGGGTTAAATCTCACCTTAAATATTGAGAGTATAAACCATGGTATTGAACAAAACAACTATACATGGTATCAAAGCACGAGCTAATATAAAACCGGAAGGTGATTCATTTAGATGATTCATGAAGGTGATTCACATTTCTTATGAAGTTTTGTGGATCATCGCATAAAAGTTTTGGGTTTTCCAGTGTTTACTTCCAATTCTAAGTTGCTGATGTTTTGGATTTGGTTATTTGAATTTTGAAGAGACTCTTTATTTTAGCATTTTTCCAATGTAAAAGAGTTGTTCCTTATTAGGATTCTGAATGTGTTTTGCCTTTTATGTCTTGGAGGTGGAGAGTTATATTTCTCGTCTTATTTGTGAATTAGATGGGATTTCTGGACATGTCTCTAAGAACTGTGTCGATACTTGAGTTTGCAGTTAATGATAGTTTATGAATTTCATTGGATTTATTTAATCACTATGTCTTAGTACATGCATCAAGGTTGAATTAATACTTTTCTGGTGTTGCTTGTTGTTATGTACAATCTCTATATCGCTACACAGAAGTATTTAACTAGTTATCCGTGTCGGATATAGGGTATCTTAAGGAAAAAAGAACATATTTAGTTTCTTAAGAGGTTTTCACATAGTAGGAAACACTTCCGAGTTGTGGAAGAAGATGATGTTTCATTAGATGTACTTTTTTTATTTAGGAAAGAAGAAAGCTACATTCTCTTGTTTCTTGAGGAAACTGTGGACCTAAAAATGGCTCAAGCTCTGAGCTCAACTGGAAGACACACAATATTGCAACCTTGAGGTTGTGGTTCAAAACCAACTGACTACCCCCCCAAAAGAAAGGATACCGGTGCCCCAAAATACTTTCATGCCTTTACATGCATATACATTTTTGTCTGAGTGGCACGAATTTTCTCAAGGTGTATTTTTGATTTCTGGATGAGTGCACGAGCTTTCAATTCTTGAGGTTCTTTTTTATTACTTTCATTTATATGGTTAAAAGTTGCATAGCTATTGTGAATCTTTCAATGTTTCCCCTTCTTGTTCTAGAACAAGCAACTTGGTTGTTAAATCTTTATTTTTTGGTTTGTCTTTAATAAGCTTGTCTTTCTCGGATGATATGGGACGATATGGATATCTCATTGTTTTTTGGTGGTTAAAGGCATATGAGCTTCTTAACTCTGCCCATTTAAAGATATGAGCTTATGAGCTTTATGTTACTCATGTATGTAGCCTTTGTCTTGAAGTTTATTGAAAGTATACTTGTATGAATTAGGTATTTTGTAGTAGAATGTCCTTGAGTTGCATTAGACCCATTTTAGATATCCATGTAGCTAGCACAAAGGCACGGTGAACCATTTGACAATTTGATACACTTAGAAGTGGGGATAGATTGCTTTTCTTTTTATCCCTTCTCTGAGGGAGGAAGGGACGGAGGGAAGTATTTATCAGCCATAGCGGTTATGAATAAATATATCTATGTTATCGTTGCATACCACTAAACTGAGGGGGGAAGTTTTATAGGACAACTGTAAGACCAGCCATGCTTTATGGGACATAATGTTGGCCGGTCAAGTAACAACATATCCATAGGATGAGTGTAGCTGAGATGAGGATGTTGAGATGAAAGGATAGAATCCGGAATGAATGCATTCGAGGGAATTTAGATGTGACTTCAATAGGAAACAAGATGAGGGAAAGTAGACTTATCCACTTAAGTAGACTTAGCCACTTAAG